GCAAAGTGCTTGATCTGATTTCATACTAGAAGGAGATTCTGTCGTAGTTCACCCAACCCCGGGAGACTTACACGAGAGCATATCCTGTTTACAAGCGGGACATAGGAGCGAGTCGTGGCTCCTGCAATCGCATGAAGGCTGAATTGAGGGTCCTTTCATTTGCTTTCCAATTTTAGCTAGTTTCCTCCTTTCGCTTCATTTCATTCTCGTCCTTTACTATATATATGTATTATATTAGGGTTTAGAGTGGATTTTTTTTTTTTTGGTGAGTTTGTTTAGGACAACTAATCGGCATCCGTTTTCTCCCTTTCAGGGTTGTATCTAAGGGATTGAATGATGCTCTCGCTGTATCTCTCTCCCGAGGTACTGTTTATTTTCCTCTATCCCCTTACGCATCCTCCCACATCTCTCCAGGCCGCCCCTTACCTGCAGCCGCCGCTTGGATTAGCCTCTTTGGTCTGTTTTCTGCAGTTCCTACATTACAGTCTCCCTTCCCCGCCTCGTTGCCATCCAGCATGGTCGCCTGCATGCGTCACTAACATTGTCGTGTCACTCCTAGTTACCAGCCCTCACTGCCGCCATCCGGAATTCAGTAAGTCTGTTTTTCCTGCTATCCACCCATCATTCCGACTTGTTGCGGCCGAGACTGCAGCCTATTCTGTTGTCCCTACAGTCCCCGCTTGTTAAACCCCCACACATGACAACAGTCATCTTGATGTCCTGCAGTCCACAACCCTTCTCCTTTGCTGCCCCTCACTGTACCAGCGCGCTGCTTTGCTGCCGATACAATTCCAACATCTCCTTTTGCTGTCCTGACCACTAACAACCCATTTTAGCCACCTAACTATGCTCTTCGACCACCTAGCCGACCTCCACCACCTTGATATGAAGTCTTGGTGTGACTTTGTGTCGTGTTTGTGGTGATTTTTCTTTCAAGTTTGTTTGATTGTAACCGCCTATTTACTTTCACTAATAATAATTGCTTTTCTTATTGTGGCTTGGGTTAACTCCGATATAAAGATTTACTTAGATGTTAAAGATCTATATTCTAATGATTTGCTTTTCTTTACAGATCATTGATGCTTAATTTCTAGCATTATAAGCTGAATGTGCTGATTATGTTGAGCTTATATAGAGGATTTGCTTAAAAAGAAGATTTACTATGAAGGGTGGGTAATTGTACAATCCTTGTAAGACAATTACTAATTGTAGGATGTGCAAATAATAGGGCATTTAATAAAAAGGGGATTTGTATAAATACCACACAATTTTATGTATTTACATTTCTAATATTAAAACTTTAAAATTTCTTTATATAATAATCAAATCCTTGAAAAATTCAAAATTATCATTAATATTAACATTTTATAGTGAATACATCTTTGCATGCATATGTTTTGATGTGAAATATCAAATTTTTTGTGTTCGATATGTAAATAAATAAGAATTATATTGTCTGTTTGTAAATTCCCTTAATAAATCACCATAGATTGGTATTTTTTTTACCTGAAATGGACTAAATAGTGGATTTGAAAATCTTAGCTGTTATATTTTAAAAATTGTAGTCAAATGCTTATCATCAAGTAAAAAAATGCAAGTGGGAGATGAATAAAAATGCTTTAAAATTGGAGATGGTTTGTATAAATGGTTGGTGGTACAATTTGGATTAACTAATACTTCATGTACTTTTATGAGATGATATTCTAATTTATATCATGATTGAAGTGGATCATTCAATACGTTTAAGGAGCGTCTTTGAAGAATTTCAAGCTGAAAAGTTGCATATGAATTAAAAATTGTTTATTATTATTATCATCATCATCATCATTGTTATATTCTTAGGATTTTGTATGCCAACTAATATACAATTTGTTAAATTTTTATAAAATTAAGATAATAAACAATCATGACCTGCTAGTTTTCATAAGATTTAAAGTTTTCATGGTTTGATTATTTTCTGTTCATGAATCATTTAGAAATTTTGTACTTTAAATTAACCTATTACAAACTGTTCTAAAAGGAAGGGAGTAGGCAAAATCATTGATTGCTCTTTTAAGTATAGTAAAGACATACTTAAAAATGCACATGTACTTAAAATTCTCCAATTTAAATTAAGTATTTGAGGTATTTTGTGAAGTGTGAAATTTGGGAGGGTTTTAGGTTAAGAAGAGACATTCAATTGCTTCAATGTGAAACTGATTGAGGCTAGGCCAAATATTCAAAATATGATGGATAGTTTTATGCATTTGTGCAAGCACTTGGATATTAGAGATATTATCTATTGCCAAAATAGATTTTACTATATGCTTATCATGAACTTTAAAGTATTTGAATTCACAAAAAAAAAATTAGGATACAACTGTAGAAAATGGGTTGAATTTCTCATACTTCTATAATAACAGATTTTGTTGGGGTTTAGAATATGCCTATTGATGCATTAAGCAAAGTTGCTATGATTTTTAATGTAGAGAAAGTACTAGTGATTTCTTGTGATCATATTAAGAAAGAATATGCCAATGTTAAATATATCAGAAATTAACTTATGATTCATGCGTGCTTCAGTGCCACCTCAAGCCTTAAATTACTACCTTTGATGCTCTCCTTATGGTCTTTTCTTTTATCTACCTTTGTTTATTGGTGCTCTCTCTGCCTCTTTCTCTCTGAGTTTCAACCTCCCTTCATCTATTTCATGCTCTTTCTATTTGCATTGCCCTTGCCCTCGAGTCATTTTCATGCTAAAATAACAAATTATATATATATATATATATATAGGTATGTATATATATACATACGTACATACATAAACACACACACACGCATATATGTGCATATGTATGTATGTGTGTGTGTATGTATACTATACTTCATTCTCAATGCCACCATCTACAACCCCAACTCAGACAAAAAAAAAAACGTAATGCTCCGCCAGAGGCAACGATTTCATATTCTCCTGATCGGCTCTAAGTTATTGATACTATTGATCATCAAAAGAATACCCCGGATGACGTCACTATTCTCCCAGGCAATATCACAACCATTCAGTCCCCAGTTGTAGCTCCATCGTCTTTGGAACCTCCTATCGTGGGGGAGAGGGTGAGTCTTCAGACCCCACCTGTCCTAGATATCACCGATAATACAGGTGACAATACTTCTGTTTCACTATCGTCTCATCAGGTCGAGCAAGTTGTTCATGTTACTCAGGCTTATGGGGATCGTGATGTGCAACAGCCTACACCTATCCGACCAACGTTGGAATCTAATGATCATATGAGTCAATTATCGGATGAGGAATAACAGGTCTACACATCTAGGCAGAAGAAGATTGGAGACCTACTTGATCTTAGAAATCTGATGGATGATACTTTAGTTACTACTGACAATGGAGTACCTTTCCAATTTTGTTAGTCGGCTTACTTCTAAGAACTAGAGGCAGAGGGAGGACAAAAGTGGGAGCACTTTTGCTCTCTTTTGTGGCTTTTTGGTTTTTTATCTTTATGTATCTTTGCTTTATTTGGGTTTTGTGTAGGTTGTATTGTGTGAGTTGGGTTTTCTTTTAGACTCTCTCATACAAACTTTCTGTATCTTTTCAGTATTAATTTATTTGTCTTTGGGCTTTTAAAAAAAAAATATATCTATATATGTCTATACATACATATATACATATATGTATTTATATAGATGTATATATGTATATAGATGTATGTATATATGTATTTATGTAGATGTATGTATGTATGTATGTATTTATGTATGTATGTATGTATGTATGTATGTATATATATATAATTAAAGTAAAAGGCAATTAGGGTTATATTGATGATGTTTAATTATTGGATTAGACATTTATTGAGTTATTTTTAGAATAATTAGATAGAAGTAGGGATGAGAATTTTAGAAATCATTTAATTCTTTCCAGAAAACACATTTATGGATTTCTTAGCTTAATGTTTTAAATACATTATTATTTAAATTTTTTTTTTTGCTTTGGATATTTTATTATAATTGATAAAATTTTAAATAATACTTATTCATTTAACATCTATACTTTTTCTAACAGTTCACACAGTATTCTTAATATGATTTTACCAATCAGTGATCGGATTTTATTACATAACTGCCAACATGATAGGAAAGAGGAAATCAGAAAATAAAAAAAATAAAAAAAAGAAAACCAAATGGAGCATTGGTAAGGAGCCGGACTGGCAGAGTTGAGGGATGTATGTTGAAGTTGAGATGAAGGAAGATGGATATAGTGGTTTCAAAGGGTGATGAGAGAAGAAATTTTTAAAGCACGCAAATGTCCCCAAAAGATAACGAGTTTGCTTCTGTTGAAGAGAAACCCACTGTGCGTGTTGGGGGTTTGTTTGGTTAGATTATTTCTTTTGATGGGTTGGTGGATTAATCAGTTCAAAACCACTTTATTCCCAAGCTTTTACAGGATATGTTGTTATTTCCTGTATTTCTCTTTTGGAGCATTCTTATGTCCTAATTCCTATATATTTACATAACTAAAACCTAAACTTCACTTTTTAAATTTATACCACCCAATTCTTTCATATCATATCAAAACCACCGCTTTTTTAACTTAACATAAAAGAAAGGTAAAATATACCCTTCATGCATAAGGTGACATGTAAAAATTTAAGGTTAGGTATTAGTTATGTAAATACGTAAAAATTGACTGTTATATATGTAAATCTTCTTCTTTTTCTTTTTAGTCCATCGAAGTGTTTTCATTTAAATTATAGTCCCATTAGTTTATTTCATTATGGCGTACAGTCTGTACGTACCATTTACCTTTTTCCATCATGATATGTTTGCTTTGATCGAATGGTTGGTTGATCTTAATTTGGTGGATTTAGCTGTTTCATTTTTTTAAAAGTTTCTATTATGACATCTCTTTTATTCTCTGGTTCCAAAATTTAGCCGCCCTTCATTTAACTAAATCTTCATCATTAAATATGTTGAATCCTTAGGATGAAAGTTTGTCTTTTTTGCAGCAGCAAATCTTTAGACCCTTGATATACTACTAGGACTTCAATATGTCGAACGCGGAAGACAAAACACAAGCTGCAGCAGCATTATTTGCAGCCAAGGGCATGAGCCGTGCCCAAGCTGAGCGTGCCGCCGCCGCTCAGGCGCGAAATGTGAATGCTTATGGACAGAAGGAAGAAGGGCCTAGCAGATGGCAGGAGCGAAAAGAAGCAAAGCGGCAAATGTACTTGATGAGCACTGAGAAAGCTGTGAGATTGGGCGAAAGGAAGGATATAAAGTCCTCAGTTTCTTCTGTTGGTGGAGCTTCTGCTCAGTGCCAGAAATGCTTCCAGTTCGGTCATTGGACTTACGAATGTAAAAATGAGCGCGTCTATATGTCTCGCCCTTCAAGAACTCAACAGCTTAAGAACCCAAAGTTAAAGATGAAACTTACCGTTTCCTATGAGTTAGATGGTCCTGACATTGCAAAGGAAGAGAAGGATAAGAAAAGCCAGCAGAAGGAGAAGGGTGAACCTGGCGGTGCAAAAAGCAAAAGGAAGCATAGAACTCGTTCTGATTCAGATGAGGATCATAGTGAGGCTTCTGTTTTTGACACAGATGGCGAGTCTTCGGTAACTGAGTCAGATTCTTCTGATGAGAGCAGTTCGAGTTACACTTCATCAGATTCGGACGAGGAGAGGAGGAGACGGAGGAGGAAACGGAAACAAAAGAAGAGGAGGCATCGAAGATATAGCTCTTACTCCGATTCGTCCGATTCGGAATCTGCTTCTGATAGCGATTCGGATGACAAGGGCAGTCGAAGGAAGTCCAAAAGGCACAGCAAGAGGCATTAGTCAAAACTTTGATAGTTTAATATTATGTCAATGGTATGCTTTTTAATCAGATTTGAACATGTTAATGCTTTCATGTACTGCATAGTTTCCTGTCTGCAACTTCAAACTTAGACCTAATTTTATGCTATGAAAGATCAGCTTAACGTATTTGGGCAGTAATGGCTGGTCTGATGTTTAGTTTTGGATGGATTTTCGGGGATATTTTCATTGCATTTCAATATTAATTTAATGGATATATATATATTATATATATATATATAT